AGTTGTCTCCTTTCAGAACAAACACTTTTAGCTAGTGCTTCCTTTAATCATCTCACCTCACATAAAGTCTTCTACAGTGCTCTCGCTTAATTCAGGTTGTATTTTCATATGACAACATATTTTGACTTGTATTAAAAAGTATGTGTCACTAATGGTTCTGCTATATTCAAGTGTCCCAGTCAGTCAGGACAGTGTCACACTGGGCCAGAATAAAATATCAGGAGCCTGAAACCAAAGCAGCTAAATGGAATTCAAGGCATAACTGGAATGACACTCAGTTGAGCACATACCTCGGCCGAAGCCCAACAGTCGCCTTGAGAAACCAATTAAATTCACTAGATCCAGATATATTTTTGGATATGCACCAAATTGCACAAACTCATAAATAACATCTCCATCATGTCATTGCTTTTTTTCATCAAGATCCATAAATTATTCTCTGAACGCCCTATCATGCAACGTTAAAGACACTAAAGAAATCCTGGATCCCTCCCCTGATCCTGATCCACACCAAAATGTATTGTGTTTTTCTGACTCATACCACATCCTTGCACCAAATCTCCAGTATATTTCTTGTAATCCCGCTAACATACTGCTAGACAAACAAACTCAGATGAAAATATAACCTCTTCTGCAGAGGTAAACATTTTATTATTCACATTTATGTTTTTTTTTATTGTGATGGTTATCAAAACGTGTGTTGTGAAAATAGTGGACTTAAACATTTAAACGCCCACCCCTCCATCGGTATAGGGGTGAGTTTATAATGAGTGAATTTTTCTTTTTCGGTGAACTATCCCTTATCTCTGTTTAAAGTAGTAGCACATTTTGTTTTGGAGAAATCAAATTAATTTTACTTCCAAGTGATTCCCTTTGGGGATGAATAAAGTATGTCTATCTATCTATCTATCTAAAAGAAAAGTTGCAGCTGAAAAGTAAACAACCTGAGACCTTCTTTCTGACCACAGACAACAGCCTGTGCTCCAGGCGGTGGTGTGGCTGCATGAGAAGTGGAAGGAGTTGTTGGTGTGGAGTTGAAGAGCGGTGACTTTGTGCTCTGATAGTAGAAGATGTATGGAGGAAGCTGCCAGGGTAAAGATAGTGATCTGCCACTAAAGAGGTCAGCGGGATTCTTTCCACTGACACAGCCGCTCCTGTTCACACTCTTAACCTCTGACCTCTGGCGACTACATCTCGACTTTACCTTCTACTCACTCACAGAAATATCAGTGGAAGGACCCAATCAACATAAAAACACCTCTCAGTTCACCAGCTCCCTAAAGTGCAGCCTCATAGATGATTCTTTCTTTTCTATTGGCATAACTTTTTGTTTTGTGTAAGAGTGCAATTGTGATCACCATCATCATTTCTTTCAGCATAATTCCTGTGGAATCCTACGAAATACTGTTACTGGTTTAATTTGCATTCATTTTTCATTGTTTTATTTTTCATTTTGCTGGATATTTTATCAGACATTTATATCAGTCTGTGAATATCAAATTCATTCACAGTTGATATTTGGATCACTTGCAGAGTCGTCCTGCCAAGAACACAAACATCATCTGAACTGACAGAGCGAAGAAATCTAAATCATGATAACCAAAAGTAAATTTGCCAAAGTGAAGGAAATATCAAGAAATGCCTTAAACAAAAGAAATGACACAACTTGAATGGCACTCAGCTGAGCACTTACCTCCGTCAAGGCCCAACAGTGAATCAAGCTGCACCGAATTGGACACATTCATAGACATGAGTTCCGTAAATATGTCAGATTTTATGATCCATGAACTGGACAATTGATGAAAACCTAAAGTAAAAACCCAGTGTGGAGGTTGCAATGTTAAAGAAAGTGGGAAAACGAATCCTGGATCCTCCCCTTTGTTTAGATCTGTGCCAAAATGTTATGCTGTCTTTCTCAGCTCATGTCTTATCCTTCCACCAACTTTCATATCCATGGATCCCTCAATTCAATCAAGCGGCTCTTAATTTCAAACAAAATCAGTCCCCTATATATGTCTGATTTTTTTCATTAGTAAAAAAAAAGGCAACATTTCATAATGTTAAAGAATGTGATAAAACATCCCTGGATCCTCCTCCTGATCCTGATCTGTACCAACGTTTAATGGATTCTTACCTGACCCATACCACACCCTTCCACCAAGTTTTGTGCTAATCTGCTAGTTTTTGTGTTTACTTAACTCCTCCATGGAGATAATAATAATAATAAAACTGTCTTCTGAGATTGACATGGGCATCATAAGGTTGTCCTTCCTTTATGGCTTTATTTTCTAACAGATAAAAAGTGTTATAAAGCCACTGTATTCTATTTATAGCTGCCTGTAATGGACCCACTACATCTCTCTCGATGATGGAAACATGAAAGAGATGTGAACTATGAATAACTGAGAAGAACATGATATACCAGACCTATCATACACAACCTTTAGTGTGACTTCACAAGATGCTCTACACACTTGTTTCACAGACAGCAGTTTGTAATCATGAGGGTCCCATTCACTTTACACAGAATCCTTCAAATGACCTGTGGGTCTCTGATCTAATGTGCAGCAGACTGCTCATTGGTGGCTGAGGGAAGCACAGTGTGGTGAGGTAGAAGTTAAAGTCGATACCCTGGCTTGCAAACAAACATTTGCCCAAGCACTACCTATGCAGAGTCGGTGTGCACATAAATACACCCTCTCTGTCCAAATCAGAGCTGCGCAGGGAGTCCTCCACTCCAACACATGACTGTCTGTCTCTAGGCATCTGACCGTTGGCTTTTAAATTTGTGATTTTTCAAAGATTGTCGCTCGGCCTCTATCAGCAACGTCTGTCAGCTCAAGTGAATACTCTCAGCCTTTAGGAAATTCTTGTGCTTGTTTCAACTCATTAATGAATTCACACCTCATGGCTATATTCACCACATGTGTCTTAATTGCCGTTGCTTTGTTGAATCCCTTTGTTTCTGTGTATAAAACAGCAGGTTGTCTGGAACCCCTGTGTTTTTAACTGTACAGGCAGAGAGTCATGATGTTACACACACCTTTATGTTTACAGTGATGCCACCGGCCGACCGCAGAGCTCATCTGTGTCAAATGATGATTCACTCAAATGATCCTCTGGAAAATGACTCAATGTTTGTTATAAACACTGTGAATGTTGTTGGGTTTATACGGGGCTTCCCCTATGAGCTCATCATTTGTTTTAATCTGAGGTTGACAGGACATGAAAGGGTCTGATCACTGACCTGATCACTGACACCCCCCCTTATTTATTTTCTATTTGACATGTCTTTCTAAAAGTAAACGTGAATCCAGCCGGGGGGGCTCTCTATCTCTGCTGCTGGTCTGAACTGTTCAGTCCAAGGTCAAAATCCCTGAAACCGCCCACGCGACAGTCGCAGACACACACCTTGTTTTCCCTGCAGAAGACACCTGCTCATGAACAAGAGGACAAGAAGTAGTACAAAGGAACAATCAGACGCCCACCTAACGGAAGAGCTTTTCTCTTTTTGTCTGCTCGCACACTTTTGGGGCCGGCTTCTTGTAGCCCACCTTAGGAAAACATCCGTGCCCCCACACGACGCTGAGCCTTGTGTTTCCTTCTGCCTTTAATCTTATGAAAAGAGCTTTTAACATGGCTGGAGTGGATGGAAGGTGGGTGTGTGGGGGGATCTGCCAAAGCAGAACAAAGCCTGGGAGGAACTCTGAGAGATAGTAGCAGCGTGGAAGGCTCTGTAATTTATCACCTGTTGCCCTTGGGCGGCCCTGCTCTCCACACGGTGGGCTCTGTGTGAGTGTGTGTATGGAACTATGGAAAGGTGATGAATGAATAAGCAGAGAAGAACAAGAGAAGAGATTATTTTCTCCTCGAAAACCTCAAAAGACATTGGTTTGAGTAATAATTCCCAGGGAAAAGTCATCGTCTGCATGTCAAAGATACCACATTTATGCATAGCTCCCTTTACCACAGATTCTGATGCTACATGTGTGTTCTAATTGCTGTTTTGGATGGGGTTGAACAAGCAGAAGTGGAAATATGTATCCATAACATAAAAACAGAAATACAATTGTGCAACATAAAAAAATGAACAGAGACCTAGAAAATACAGGATCATGTTATGTCACGTCAGGTTCAGGCGTCACCATCTGAAAAGGTTTAAGTGTACCCATGATGCTGTCTCGAGAAAATTCAGTCCTCAAGTCTCTTTATGTTTGCCTGCCACCTTCTGGCTTATTGGTGCATACACACATGCACGCACACACACACACACACACACACACACACACACACACACACACACAGGCATGCATTGAACAGACTCAGAATGCAACTTAAAATGAAAAAGATTCAAACCATGGTCGAGATCTTGAGAACTCTGCTTTATGAATGTGGAATCTCCCAATCCAAATGAATAAGTTGGTTGAACGCTGACCTTTCTGATTTTTATTTTTGTTGGACCAACTTAATGTGAAAAAAAACTATTCACGTTTTTTTTTCAGTCATATTACGTGTATATCAGAATAAGTTTTTGTATAATCTGTAAAGTTTTGTTACAGTATATTCTGTAAAGTTTTGATATATTCTGTAAAGTTTTATACAGACTGCAAAGTTTTATGCTGCAAAGTCATGATATATTCTTTAAATGAAAATCCTGTGAGTAGGGCCACTGTTCACCATCTGAAACCAAACAGAATCATTGAGTTTATGATGTAGACAGTGCCTCATCTTTAAAATGTGTAATAACACATTTCTTAAGATTGACACAGTATATATTATCCTACCAGACATTTATTGAATGGCAACACGAGAAAAATTAGTGAAATATTATGGTTCATCGTTGCATTTGTTTTCATCGTGTAAACATTTGAAGGGATATAGATTAGATGGATACAAACTGTGTGAAATCGATGTTCACCTGTTTAATGTCATCAGTGATTATTGGTTTATATATGTTTTTATAATAACAGCGTGATGACCACCAGCACCTGTGCGTCACTGCAGACGGCGGATGACGAGTGACGCAGTCTGTGTATGTTGAGGAAGCTAACGAGGAAACCTCGTAGATAGATAAACACCCGGGAGAGGTGTGAACCCAGCGAGCCCACGGCTGTCACACAACCGAGAGAACAGCTCCAAAGGTCGGACTGAGTCCTCCACACAGCGAGGGTCGACATGTCTGAGACGTACGGTACGTGTGTGATGTCATTTAACGCTTGCTAGCCGCTCTGTGCTCGGCTCTTAGCAACGCTGCTAGTTAGCGGGCTACATGGTTAGCTCAGGTTAGCACCTAGCTAACCTGCCACCTCATCATGTCTGCGTCTTTTAATCGCGATTAAACAACACGTCCCTGCTGACAGTCCGTTTAAATAAACTGTTGTGGTCCCAGCGTGTAGTTTGCGATCAACCGACATCTCTGTCATATAATGGCGGAGGACACCGCTTCCTCAAACGGTGACAAACACGAGCAAACAGATGGTGAGACGGTTCCCAGGTAAAAGTTGTTTCGAACTTGACACTCTGCGATAACACGATGACATGTGAAGGACGTGGCTGCTGAGCGGAGCTGGAGCTGGAGCTGGAGCAGTGACCTTGCAGGCTGAGACATTGTTTGCTTTTCGTCGAGGTGTTGTGTGTGTTTCTGTATTTAAAGGGTGGATATCAGCTGCAGGGCCTGTTTGAGTTTTACATCCCTGAGTTACCTGTGGAGCAGCAGCTGCGAGCTGTCATTCTGATGCCATGTAATTTGACTTCTCCTTTCACTACAGATCATTTGCATTTTAAGCAAATTAAAACATGGCTGTGCCTGTCTGTGACATGGGTGTAATAGTATGTTATTGCGATACATCCATGGTCTGTGAGCACTGACATTATGACTGACCACCAGTACTACTAACAGAAGAAATTAGTAATACACAATACACAAAACTCGATTACTGGGGCTGATATCGAAACCGATTGTTGTGAGAACACTTTTCTGATATACACTTCAGCGATACAATGAAACAGTTTTAGCTATAGAAAATGAGGAATTAGATCAGATCATAGATTTTTGTCGATGCCTGACTCTGTATTTGTGACAGTATCGCAGGCATTTCCAAATGCTTGTACTGCTCTCAGAACATCTCTAATGCATTATGCTCATATGGTATATATACATATATGATAGAGATAGAGGTCATTGTTTATTTAAATTCCAGTAATTCATTTCACAAGTGTGCATCTTACTGTAACGACACTGTTGGACCCTGCACCACCATCTGCTCAGTTGTGATGCACACTCTACTGCAAACAGCGCTGAATATTATTAACGTGTCACGGCCTGAATCAACTTGCAACATATTTCTTGATTTTGATATATATATGGGCAATAATCTGGCAATAACATCGGCCGGCCTTTAATGGCTCTAGAAATCAGTATTCTGACTCTGGTTGAAAGAATTGTCAGCATAAAAGCTCTGACTCAATAGTCCCAGTTGTTTTTAAACTGCACACCATCCTCATCCTCTGTTGCAATCTCTGTTTCCACTTGTTCCCTGTCTCCCTCGCTCCTTTCATGAAACTTCATCCCAGTGGGCAGTATTAGTGTAAAAGTGCCAGCTCTGATGGTAGCTGTAATAGCCCTTTATTGATTTCTGTCTCAGTCTCCTGTGCTGTTTCTTCTCCAGCACGGTCAGTGGTGGAAATAGTAAAAAAGAAAAGTACATGAAATTTCATGCTGCAAGAACTAGGAAATTAATCCAGTTTCTTAAATGAGAGGATTAACTGCCTTTCTTTGGGATATATGAAAGTAAACAGAATAATTCCCCTTTTTGCCCCTTGGACACTGCATTGAAGACCTTTTTCAACATTTACTGATATTTTATAGACCAATAATAGGGAAAGTCGTTGATAATGACTGAATGTTAGTTGCAGTAGTAATTGCTCCATGCACTTTGTCTGTAGAGGAAACAAAAAAAGAAAATGTGGGCCTGAGTGTGTTAAATGTTGTCACAGTGTAACTGAATGCAGATAACAGTGTTAGTGTGTTCCATCAGGGGTTATGTGATATCGACGGTTTAAAAAAAAAAAATACAATAGCCTTAAAGGCTGCTTTTGAGAGGGCAGTGCTGCATTCCTCGCTCCTCATTGCTTTGACATATTGACAGCTTGATTGTTGTCTGCAGATCTCACATGGGAATATGTAATGTCTGGAAAGATGCTGAAAAGCTGAGGCAGACTTTTAAAACAGATCTGTTAGCCTTTGAATCTGTCAGTTCTACTGTCTTGGCTGTTGACAATGTGCGGTTGAGATTGTTGCAGAAGGAAACTGTAAGTGTTTGTAAGTGCCCTTGCTTTGCTGGAGCTGTTCCATTACCATGAATTTGGCCTCTAGCTTGTGTTGCTTGAGAAAACACTCGCCTCAACAAACAAAGGTGCACCATAAACAGAGCCAGCGGTTGTGTGTGTTGGCAGATGAAGGTGGCTCCAAAAGCACTAGCTTGATTAGGGTAAATGTGCAGGAACTAAAAATCTATCTCATCCGTCTCTACTTTTTTTTTTTCTTTCTGTTAACCTTGTGTGAAGCTGAATATTCACAGGATGTTCATCTGGCTACTAATCTCTACACTAATCATTTAATCATGACACACTACACCTTCAAATTCCAACTGAAGTAGACACTCAGAGGCAAAGTTGTAGTACAATCGTTGTTTTTCTCTCATATTCTTTGGAAAAACCATCACTACCAGATTTTCTCTTATTCTCCTATGTATTCTGCATAGAGCAAAAAAACACAACCTTCACTCTCATTAAAACAATTACAGAAATATTTTATTGCTTAGAAATAAGCTGTGTTAACCATGACCTTTGTAAAGGTGACACCTTTTGAACACAATGAGCATAATTCATTTCTGCACTTTATCTTCTTTGGCATGGAGAATGTTTCACCATGGCATTATGGTATGGAAATCTTATTTTGTAGCCATTTCATTTTTTGTTTTTGGGGGGGTCTGGCCAGGGTTATGGTTGGCCTGGTGGCCAACAAGGGAAACACTTGTATTCATTGCTAACACAAACTGACAATGGCACTGGCAATTCTAACACACACGCACACACTGTTGTTCATCCTCAGTTGTCACATTCAGGATCTTCTAGTTTCCACTGTACTGATTCCTCGGCTCAAATGGTAACCATACAGCTTCCTGGGGTTTCTGAGTACCCCATCCAAGACTGTCCATTTTCTAGTCATCTGTTGTTGTTTGCAGTCTACACATGTAAATGCCCTTTGTACCTTCTTTGGTCACCGCATGCACAGGCTGCCTTTGCTATCCTTGCATGTCTGAGTCCCAGGTCATTCTACATCTTAGGTGTCAATGGTGTTAGCTCATGCACCAAAACAACAACATCTGTACAACCAGCTGGCTGAGGTCATTCAATCTCTGTATGAGTCAGTTATCCGAAACCAAGTTTAATAGCTCTAAAGCCTCTAAAGCTTTGCTCTAATGACATGTGTTATATTATTTTAATAGTGCTGTTGCTTCTACACGGCTTCAAACACATTTGTTTTTTTCACCTCAGACAAACAAGCTTATTAAATTAGAATCAGAAGTAGCATGTTATGGTGATTATATGCCAGGCTCTGTGGTTTGTAGGCTAATTTAAGGTTGGTGAATACTGTGAAAGTAGCAGGTCAATGGGATTAAGAGGAAATCTGACGGATTGTCTCTAAGGATGGAAGTGCAAAGAGCAGCAGGCTTAGTGTTGCATTGATCTCTTCCTCCTCTCCTCTGCTTTCAGACTTCCTGTTTAAGTTCCTGGTGATCGGCAGCGCTGGGACTGGGAAATCCTGCCTCCTGCACCAGTTCATCGAGAACAAGTGTAAGTTTTCCTTATTTAAAGCCAATTAGTCACATCAGGGTTGAATAAGTGAATTCATTAGTGTTATTACACAGAAATGGTCATGTAATTAGTGTCACAGATTCCCATGTCATATAAACCCTCTCACGCTCCTCTGCGGTTATGCTCTGTGGAATTTAGTTCCTCTTGAGACAGTTATTCATTGACTTTCATCATGACTCAAACCAAAGTAGATGATTATTGAGTCAGCAGGATACAACACACAACACCACAGTTCTCTGCTTTAGACTGTCCTGGATTAAGAGGATCTAAAGAGAAGATACACACTAAATGTTTCATTGGGGGGTACACAACTTACATTAAGCTTAATTTTTCTGGAAAGTGCAATCAAATAAATTCCCCCAACGAACAGTGTTTTATAAAAGTAGTGTACATCTGCTCCCTTCTGACAGTGTCAGATCAAATCAGACTTTGTTTAATTTAGCAAAGTTACTACTCAATTTCCAGTTAAAATACAACAATAAAATGCAACGGCCAGTTGCTCTGGAAGTTTCCCTGAACTTTTCCTGTCAGCCCCCTAGTGAAATGTCCTGAAAATGTCATAGCGAGCAAGTAGGCGTGCTGATGATGAAAATGTATATTATAGAATATAAATCAGTCTGGGATGACTCACAAGTAAAACTGGTTACCTGCAGGTAGGAAAATTAATACAATTATATTGTGATATTTACTAGTAATGGTGTCAAGCTCCACAGTTTTTCTTTATGTGCACACTGAGACACACACTTACACACCTGCAAGCACACGCTTGTATTAATTTGATTAATGGTGTGTTAGGTTCCAGTGCTGTCAGCATGGAGGGAGAGAGGGAGGGGAGGATGACAGTGTTAATCTCATCTCAACTCCCTCTTGTCTCTCACGTGGATGTGATATGTCTGAAGATCAAACTGCGTAAGCATTTACACAAGCACAACACACCAAGATATTACAGATAACAAGTAAGATACAAAAAGCAGAGTTGAAAGTCCCCGTTGTACCTATTTGAAAGGCGTTTCTTTATAACCACATGATAATGCTAAGGGAAACAAATGGAGAATTGCTTTATTAAAAGTGTGTTTAATTTTGTTTGACTGTTAGCTCAAATTCTCTAATTTTTGACACTTTTCTCACTTCCTTCCTGTTTCAGTTAAACAGGACTCCAACCACACCATCGGCGTGGAGTTTGGATCCAGAGTGGTGAACGTTGGTGGAAAGACAGTTAAACTGCAGATATGGGACACTGCTGGACAGGAACGATTTCGGTGATGACCCTAGTTTCACATTCAACCTTCTGAGCCATATTTCATTGATATTGATATTATCTATGAATTACTATCAACGAAATTGTCTTATGTTTTCTCCTCAGTTCTGTAACACGCAGCTACTACAGAGGAGCCGCTGGAGCACTCCTCGTCTATGACATCACCAGGTAAAACAATCAATGCGCTTACTGTGCACTCACACATACACGCTGGAGGCTTCAACTGAAACACTGCTCATTCACTTTGAATGAGGAGATGTTCTGTGTTGCCAAACTTCGTTGTGGTTCCGTTACTTTGCTTTGTGTGCTCAGATGCAGCCAACCAAATAGTGTTAAAGCTTCTACAGGTCCTGCCTGACATCAAATAGCAAAAGAGGCAGCTGCTGGACCTGTTGTTTGTTCATCTGGTCGTGGGTTTTTGCCATGTGCCTCCCTTTAGCATTGTGTTGACAGCTAGCATGGCACGTTAGCAGGAGAGCCAGCTCTGTTATGTGTCCCGAGCAGGAAATTGTGTGGTTGTTGTTGTTATGATGATGCATCACGCCAGTATCAAGCATTGGGCACACCCATTGTTTGGCATTAACACAACATGTACATGTGAGTCTTGTGTTACTGTCCCTGTGCCTTTGCACAAATTGTACCTTTTGTGTTACATAATTAACATTTACAATTAATATATGTACTCCATATTGTTGGTACACAAGCATATTACCTTCATTTGTGTGATATCAAAGAAAGGTTTTTTTTTTTTTCATTAAATAGCAAAATAACAAATCTTCTACCAAAACTACTAAAATAATATAAAATATAATAACCCACTATGTAAATACTTAATTTTACTCACTTTATTTCTACAAACACATACAGTATATTGCTGATTTTCAGTCCGTGTCTTCTGTCCATACCATCTCCAGAAATTGTGCAATTCAGTGACTACATAAAATGTGATATGAACTAGAATCTCCTCACTGGTCTGTATTTCCCAAGCTTAAGGTTGCATTAGAGCGGTTGTGAAATCGAGATGGAGGGAACGCAGTGATGCAGAGAGATAGGAATGTAATACAGTGTGTGTTTGTGAGACTGTAGTGTCTTTATTGGAGGGGCGGGAGGGGAGGGCAGTGTGATGAGAGCTGTAATATAGAGATGTCTTCTGGCAGCCAGCAGCAGATGATAAAGCAAAAGTCCTTCACCAAAAGTGTCACCCGAGGAAGAAAACGAAGAGTGGACAGAGAAAACTCCAGGGTGGAGGGAGGGAGGGAGGGAGGGAGCACAAAAAGGAGGCGAAGGACAACTTGAGTAGGAGATGGAGACGAGTATCACTTTTCACAGGTGAAAAGGTGAGCAGGAAGGTGGACAGGAAGAGAACATGTGAAGCAGATTGTAGCGGAGCTGCTTGGTCTCATCAGTGTGTGGACGAGGAGGGAGTGTTGTTCTTAATCTGTCAGTGACAGCACAAAACTCCACTGACCCACACCCCTCGGCTCACTTCACCAGCCTCACGTTACCACGGACACCAGGGTTCTGTCTCCATGGCGATTGTTGGCGTCAGTACAAAGAAGATTCCATGATAACTGTGATCAATGTCTACCCAGTCCAACAAAGGATGTAACAGCAAAGTTAAAAAGGTTTGAAGGCAAATTTTACAACTGATACTTAAGTTGTAAAAAAAACAAAAAACATTTGACAAACTATCTTAAGAACAAGTGAGAAAGCAGCATCTACAAACACAATGTTTCTTCTCAAGCTTTCTTGTCCTTTTGTGCTCTGGAGCTACTTTGATGCAGTAAATGTAAATTCAGTTTGTGAATTTGAAAGTTGATCATTTGCATGAAATCATGTGTATACAAGAGACTCCTCTGCTAATGGAATCTACCCAGCTTTTGGCTTGTTAGGTTGTTGTTAGCTTTTAGCAGAGCTTGCTTTGTTACACTCTCTTAAAACAGCCTTTGTTTTGTTTAATTTTAATGTATTTTAAAAACAATTACACATTGCAATGGTTAAATATTGTGTTTGTAATAATTAGAAATAGAGATTCATATTCTGGTCTTGATCAAATATGTAGTTGCTGCATTTTGGCTTTTTGTGGCAGCAGGGGAACAGATTAGTTTTCTCTTTTAGAAGCGCAGTAACTTTATCTTAGAAACCTGCTGATAGTAAGTCTTCATGTGTTTGTATGAGGACGCTGTCGAAGGAAGGAAAGTAAAAGTACACGCACATGCACATCTTACCTAGCAGTTATTTAGTAAACTGAAATATCTCCCACTCAAAGTAATGAGTGCTCTAAAGCCTTGATAGTCTCCAACAGGCCCACACTTCTGTTTATACAACATTGTGTGTTTATGGAGGCAACCATATTCACACGTGTGTTTATTTATATATTTGATTGCAATGGAGCATGTTAATGAGCATCAGTATAAAAACACTATATGATAACATGCCAGATTCTAGCAAGAATGCTAAATTACATAAGTGGTACCTTGGCTTGTACTCCTTGCTTAAATGAGCAAGTGTTGCATGGGCCCTTGAGTCAGAGCAGATATAGAAAATATTTTGAGCTTAAAGGGGCAATGTGTAGAATTTAGTGACATCTAGTGGTGAAGTTGCATGTTGCAGCTGAATACCCCTTACCTCACCCTCCCCTTCCAAACTTGAAAAAGAAACCTGTGGCAGCCTTCAGTTGTCATAAATACTCAAAAGGTGTTTAGTTTGTCCAGTTTGGGTTATTGAAAAAAGACCCTCAGCAGTAAGCACCATGGTGTCCATCTGTCCGTCCTGTCTTACAGCCGGGAGACATATAATGCCCTGACCAACTGGCTGACGGATGCACGGACACTGGCGAGTCCCAACATTGTTATTATCCTGTGCGGCAACAAGAAAGACCTGGATGCAGACAGGGAGGTGACCTTCCTAGAGGCTTCGCGCTTTGCTCAGGAGAACGGTAACTGATGTTAATTACATTTTAACTCTAAGTTTGTCTCTTTATTTTGATTGATTGCTTTTCATTTAGGGCTGGGTGACTTTCAATCATCATCACGATTATTTCAAACTTTTACTTTCATTACTATTAATGAACGATTATATTATGGGACACACTACTGTGTACTGAACGAGCAGAAACCTGATAATTGAACATTAACGTTAATTGACATGAGCAAAATTAGGTTGGTTAGAGGTTAGACATTTTGGGTTAATTGCCTGGCCCTATTTTCATGTATGCTTACTGATTGTGTTGCTTCTCTCATTTTCATTGTTTCTTATATTTTTATGTTTATGAAGAGTTGATCTTTCTCGAGACCAGTGCTCTGACAGGGGAAAATGTGGAGGAGGGCTTTCTGAAGTGCGCTCGCATCATCCTCAACAAGATAGATTCAGGTACACTTTGTTTGATAAGGAGGTTGAGCATCCATGTGACAGTTGGCATACATTTGCACATACTTACTTACTTTTGATCTTTGTGCATGAGTACATAAAGCTGTGAAGGCCTTTAGTCCAGTGTCTATACATTTCTATGTTGCCAACAGTTTTCATTTGTTTCAAAGGTGAGTTAGACCCAGAGAGGATGGGTTCAGGTATCCAGTATGGAGACGCGTCATTGAGGCAGCTGCGACAGCCGAGAGGCACCGCCACACAGAATAAGCAGCAGTGTAATTGCTAGGGATCGAAACCCCACGCTCACCTACAGGCCAACGGAGACAGGGCATCCCCTACAGGTCAGTGGTGTGTTACATTTAAATAAATCTAAATTCTTTTTACTTTTCACTGTATGGCTGAATGAGGGATCACCTCCTCATCTCCTATCTCTTCTCACAGCTCCAGGTGTTTTTTGGTGTGTCAAACCCTCTCTCCGCGGACTCACACACCTTGGATCACCTGGATGAATGAGCGTGGAGATCACTGCAACCCCTGACCCCTGACCTCTGGTAAGAGTCACTGCATCTTACCTGAGGGGGTCAGCATTGCACCTTTGTCTGGACAAGGAAACTCCTCATTGTGAACACACTGTGATCGCAAAGACAGGGAATCCTCTTCTTCAAAAATCACTTTCCCAAGTCACTGACCAGACTAGGACAAGTTGAGGGTTGTGTGTATGGGCTGCCCTACTGTTCTTTTCTCCGTTTATTTTTTTTCATCCTGGGTTCAGTAACAATTTCATGCTTTCTGCATTTGCACGTCATTGTTTGTAAGTTATCATCTGTAAATTGAGTTGCACCTGTTTATTGTTCAGCTGTCCGGTAGGATTCATGATCGGTTTGGTCTACGCTTTCTGACTTTCTATTTTCATAAAGGCACGATCCGATGATATTTTGTTTTTATTTGCCATTGTGTTCACTGTACTTATAAGTTCAGAGTTGTATTGATGATGACTGAGTTATAAAGAGTCTAAACATAGACAGATTTTGGACTACAATAATCTTACAGAAACCAGATGTTATTCAGATCTTTATGAAGGTTTCGGCATTTTCTTTCTGATTTTAAGACTGAAGCAGCTCATCAGTAATTTCAGATTTTTAAAGTGACACTTAAGTCCTTATATAGAACCCAGGTTATTCACTCTGACATATGTGTTTAAGCCTTTTGAATTTTTTGGTTTACCTTGAAACGCATTGTTTTAATGTAGAGTATTGGCCTTAGTAATATACTTGATATTGTGGATCTACAGTATATTATTCCCAGTCTCCATGTCTCTTAAGTGTCATAGGAACTGGTCCAGTCACACCATTCTACATCCACCTGTGGCTCAGGTTGAAAGCACAAAAAAGAGAACTAATGCTCTTTATTTTATCCCAAAGTCCCCAAACTCTGTAGATATATCTCATCAGATTAACAACATGTTCAAGTCTGTGTCTCTGCTCCGATCACAGTGAAAGACTAACCAAGCGTCATCAGTCTTTGCAAAACTAAAACTGTTTCTGACTCCTCTGCTGCAGTTTTTCTCTCTCCATGACCTCCCTTTGATTTACACTGCTCTACATGCACATACTGCATGAGGGACGTCACAGGAAACCACAGTTGGTTTTGCCTCAGTGCCATGTTTGGGGAAACTTTCCTGCCGCCCACCCAGTTCCCTCACAACAGCTCAACGCTGTTGAATCATGCATGGCTGAAATTGCGCCTTGATGTCAGGAACCTGGTTTTTAACCCTCTGAGTAGTTTTCACCTTGGATTGTTTAGCGCAGAAGCAGCTCTGCTGCAAAATGTTTGTGGAGCCAACCCAGATGTTTTATCCTGAGAGCCGGCTTGTGTTGCCCCAAGAGAAACAGGGAAATTCCCCTCTCAAACATGGTTTCCTCTTTCTGTATAACACTGATGGTCTGGTTTGTGGCGCTGCTGGGAGTTAATAACCCAAACTGCGGCCCTACTGTTGAGTCGAAGGCACTGAGAGCAGGTCACACTGACCCAGTCGAGAGGAGATCATAACAAGAACTGCCTGCGAACTTCAGCCCACACAATTCCAAGTTTTAGTGGCTGCTTTCTAGGAGACATTGTGCAGGTCCGTGCTGACAGCCGGGTTTGGGCTGCATGCACCATCCTCAGTCATCTTTGCAGCTGGTGGGGTGAAAGTGGATTCCCCATTCACCTCCTCTTCATCGCAGCTGAGGCTAATGGACTGATCCTGTGGAGTCATCCCCCATGATTACACCGTGTCCGGACACCCAGTCGGTTTCGTGCTCGTCAGGGTTTTGTAGCGATGCAACGGCGTCGAGCTGATCGCCCCAGCTGGCTCCTGCTGGGATGGTGTTTACCTGGGTGCTCTCCGCTGACTCCTGTGAATGTAGGATGGCTACCCCTCTTATAGGATCCACCGCTGACAAGCCAGCTTGGCGCACCAGCCTGCGGCGGCAGGTTATTATGGAAAGGCATGCAAAATGCTCACAGGCGCCTAGGGATGTGTGCGATTCTCAGGCGTAGTCGAGCCCGAGGCACACTGAATTGATATCTGCCCCGAGATCTTGTTACCACATGTGCAAAACCTCGGCGGTACCTTGCTCTTGTCCATGGTGAGGGCAGGTGCAGGGTCCATGACTTTAATCTCTCCCGTTAAAGTTGGAAGCGGTGAGTAGCTAATATGGTGGCTAGCTACTTAACTCAGGAAGCTGTGCAGCGATCAGGTAGCGCCTGACTCTGAGTGGTCAGCTCGCTTTATGAACAGTTGGCAAGCCCATTGGGCTACAGCTGCCGTCTGAGAGGATGCTTCTATGACCGAGAAGAGGTTCTAGTCTGAGGTGATGACGGGTTTGTTATAGTAGGAGAAGGTCCCTCCTCTAGTGGCCGATCATGTCATGTCTGCCTGCCAGTCAAGACTGGCGTGGTTTAAAATTGCTTCTGGGAGACAGCATGGAGGGGGGGTGGGGTCCCATTGTGAAATACTGAAACAAATGTTGAAAGAGAACCAGCTCCAGATATTATCAGATATCAAGAGACAGATGGTCAGAAAAAAAATCATAAAATATTGGCATTGTGTGATAGTTTGTCTCCTTCTGCAAGTGCACTTTTACTTTTGAAATTTCATATTTTGTTTGTATGCTGTAACTATAGAATTGTACATTTTATTTTACTTGAACTGTAATAAAGATTTTAATTGTAGATGTTATCATTTCTTACTAAATAACAACTGAAAGTCTTCATTTGATTTGATTGTTTTTTTCCTACTGTCACGAGGCGAGTTTGTGGTCAGAGGTTTGTTTTTCACTTGCTGCTGACGTGGAGGTAACGATGAAAGGATGTTGACTTCCTGTAGGAGCACGTCAGCAACAACTCTGATCGCTCACAGACACAAGTCAGTTATCAAAACATCTGAATGGTGAAACACTGTAGAACCAGAGTGAACCTGCATTCATTTGTATGTATACTTTGTACAGTCAGTAAGACCTGATCAAAATAGCCATATGATAAATATCATTTTCTCACCTCTACAGTCGTGTGATGAATGCAATCCAATGCAGTTGTTGCTTAGTAACTAATGTTGTATAATCAACCTTAATACTACTGTACATCTCTAGTTACCTGTGCTGTAAATACGATTTGTCTTGTTGGTGAATTTTGCTCATTGATTATAATGATTATGCAATTCCCAGTAAACTGCTTGTTTTTTCACTGAACCTGTCTTCTGCATTTTAATGTTAACTTCCTGTTAAAATGCTCAGTTAAAGTGCATTCCAATCATGAGTGTTTATAAATCTTACTTTTTTATTCCTCCGCAACAGCGATGACCAGGGACATTGTGTTTGTCAGGCTGTTCCTCCCATTTTTGTGAAAACAATATCTGAAGAACGCCTTGTGGGAATTAACTCAAATTTGGTACAAACATTCAGTTAAGGATTTCGGAGGTCAAAGGTCACTCTGACCTCACAAAACCTTTTCTGACTCATGACGTTTTAATCTTAAGAGCGCCTCCAGAGAATTCTTTCAAATTGAATACAAATGTTTAGCAATCTGATGAACTTATTGCATTTAGGCAGTTCTGTTAAAGTCCCTGTGGCCTCACAATTATTGTTTTTGGCCCCTTGAACATGATATTTCAATGTCTGCCTTGAGGGAATTTCTTCAGTTTGACCAGTTGTCACTTGGACGAAAAGATTAACTGATTATATTTCAGTGGTCAAAGGTCACGGTGACTTGAGAAGTCTGGAAAAAAAATGTATGTTGATTGAAACTGCATTGGTCGGCTGAGGCACACAACCACAGGGCGGTAATTCTACTTTTCCTCACAATTGTGAGTAACAACTTATCTCTTTATGGCTCTGCTGAGTTAACGGACCTGTAAGTTTAACAACTGAATCTGTGTACATGATTTTATTCAGGCTCAACCTCCATTCTTCAGCCAAGTCTTTTTTTCTTGTGGAAGGCAGTCAGGGCGAGGTTAGGATATCACAGGACTCGTGTGATGAAGAGTAAATGTCCTCTGTGTCCAATTGTCTGGATTTATGTTTCTGGGTCGATGGAGTAACAGCTAGAGTGGCTTAATGTAGCTGATGTGGATATATTGACTGATTTATTGATCCGAGACAAGCTGTCAGGATGACCTCATAACTACATTGTATAATTTACTGTGGAAGATGTTCTGCCACTAGATGGTGCTAATGTACTGAACAGCCAATTCACCAGTTAGTGGAGTTCAAGACAGAGGCACTTCAGATCCCATTGGCTCAGCACATAATACATACTGAATACTTATCACGCTAAAATATGTTTAAAAAAAGTATATGCATGAGAATACATTGTACCTGATTTTTAAGATAACACATATTTAATATTTTACACATTTTATTTATCAGATAAATAATGTTGGACAATGTCAGGAATCAAATTTTAAGAAAATATCCTTTTCATAGAGATTGATCCGAAACAGTCGACTTCATCTGTTTATTTTATTATTTACATATAATGGGACATATTGATGTGGGTAGTTGAATTGGAGACAATACACACACACACACACAAGCATACATTTCCACCAATAAACTCACATGTGGACGAGAAGGGAAGCAGTACATGTTTCAATAATAATGCCAAATAACCCTGAAATAAAAAAAAATAAGAGTTAAACAACAATGATGTTTGAAACCACCTCTCTGGATCTGATTAAATCAGATGACAAGGAATTTCATCCAGCAAAGTTTTGGCCTTTTTTTTGTCAAATTCCAAATTCATAAAGCTTCTCAGAGGAAACTTAAAAACCAGTTTGTTTAATGGATCTTAAACATGTAAATACTGCTCAGACTCAGAGTTTTACTGGAATGACTGTTAATTTCACAATATTCAACATAACTCAACACACCCATGTATGCACAAACCATACGAAGCAAGCATCACAGCACTGCTTTGTGTAAAATATTCTATATGCCCAGGTCTTATTCCTTCTGAGTGCATTTGCATTTTAAGTGTGACCAACAAGCACCATATAAGATGATTACAGACATCATCTTGAGTTAATATAACCAACTGAGTTTCTCATCAGCCGTGAGAACACCAGGTTGTCATAACACAGTCAAAATGGTACTCATCCTAAGTACACTCCAGTCAATTACCAACTTGCCGCGCTGGTCAATTGCTTTAAAAGGGCTTTTTCTAGTTGGCGTTTGCTTGTACTGTGATCCAGATATAAAATGCAGAGTAGCCTTGGTGAGTCGAACACCCCAACACTTGCAAAGTCTTTCCCTGCGTGGTTTCATAGAGACGGCTGCCAGGCGGTTTTAAGTTCTCAATGCAAACATCTGATCATTACAGGTCGTCTTTATACACATACAGGTGCTTGTGAGTTATAGTAGTGCCATTAAATGAAAGTTGAGGTTAATAAAGGGAGGAGGAGAGAGCAGGGTCACACTGATGGATTTACCTCAGTGTTTCCACACTCAATAGAGATGAATGCAATGACTAACAACATGAAATAACTCATTTCTGCAGCCTCTGGCGTTAGGACAAGGGAACCCAATATAAAGCTGACTGTGACTGAAATGGTTAACGAAATGTCATAATGTTGAAATGTACAGCCTTTGCATTGAGTGACTTCATTAAGAGTACAACACAGAGTATTTTAACATAGGGGCTACATCCATACTACTAAGATTTCCTTTGAAAATTCCATTTTTGAAACTTAAACAATCTGTCCCCCACAAGCGTTTTGGCTCCATATCAGTTATAATCTAATACTAGCATGCGTGGAAGCTATATCTCATGAACTTAAGTACACTGACATGTGAGTCCCAGTATTTGCAGGAAAAACCGGAAAGGATGCATGTGCTATATGGTTGGTCTCTTATACACGTTAGCAGTTGTATTAGTGTAAAATTTAGAATTTAACTGCACAACAGATGTTAGTAAAGACAACAAGGTCAGCATTGCTTGCTTGTTATTGATTATCCATACTGTGTTCAACACTGACAGCTGAGGCCGGTTATTTTCTTCTCGAAGAAGGTCATGTGATAGGAGCCTGTTGTGACCTGTTGAAGACCCAATCAGCAACCGCTTGTGAGTTTCTACGCCACCTTTTCCAAACATCTCTGTCTATGCCCATCTAGACTAAAACCCAGCCCTCTAGGTTTCAAACTAAAACTAAACCGCTTTTCAAAAGAAAACACAGTTGTATGGATGTAGCCATAGACTGCCATAACAAAGAGATTTACTGAACTTCTACATTATATATCATATGTAAACAATATTGTGTGTTTCTATTTTCTAAAAAAAAAACCTCCTGAAGTTCTGAAAGACAATGATGGGGGATCCTTTCCAGAGAGACAGGAGGTTGGTTCAGGTCCCAGGGCAGCAGATTGGCGAGCAGGTAGGAAGGACGGTTGTCTGGTTTCTACTCGAGTGACTGGAGCATGAGAAGCTGCTTGAGGACCTTGGTCTGACTGGTCTCCCTGATCTCTCCTGCAAGGAACATCTCATCCACCACCGTGTACACCTTAAAAACACAGAGAGAGAGGAGGTGCGTTAGAGGGCAGGAAAGGAAATGACGGGATTATGGCAATTAAGGAGGAAAACAGATACCACAAACTACATGTTGTTACCAAATCCAAAGTGACATTATCTTGTGCTTTACACATGAAACTGTTGAGGTTTCTGGAAAATTATGTTTACATTGTCCAGTCATCCCCTGGCCTGTGGTCAGCATAACATCTCCACTGCTGTGTCATCAAAATGTAAAAATAACCAGTGGATGACGCTAACAGTAGCACACATAACTAACTATGATTGGATAGATCAGGCTACATCCATACGACTCCATACGAATACAGCAAATACTAATGAGAAACAATGGTGAAAATTTCATTGCCACTATAATCGATGTTGCCGGTGTTACAATGTGCTCAGGCACATACGAATTCTATAACTAGCCCACCACTGAGAGAAGAGGGCAACTGAGCCCTCGAAACATTTTGGTTTTTTACCTTGGAACAGGAAAACATTTGTAGAAGAGAAAGTGATTGAGTTTATGTTTAACAATTTTCACTCCTGGTTGTAACACTGCATCAAATTGCTTTGTGCTAGCACGTGGGCGGATGTTCAGATGCTTTAGCTAATTAGCAAAAACACTGGCAGCAGCTGGGGGCGTTCGGAGGTGTGAGCTGCTTAGCGTTTCTTTCTATGAAAAATATAGAGGATAATTATTTAGATGGATTTTACTCAGTGAGTTATTTCTAGATGTAAGTATTTAATTGGTTGCCATGGTATTGTGATGAAAGAAATACTTTTGTCCTCCTCTGCTCCTTCTGCTTGATCAAGGTGTTGATTAGATCGTTTGAAAATATCACAAGGTAAAAGATAGTATTTTCGTTTCCTTACCTTATAGAAGTTGAACACCAGGTCCAGTTCACACACGTTGTGAAAATACTCATTCAGCACCTTACAGGAAAGGCAAGAACAGTCATTCATCAGATAACAGCTAGGAGATAACCTAAGAATACATTAGAAAAAATATATACAGTAATTATAGGTTTTAATGTGACCCATTGGTGCAGAAATATATACTGACACTATGGAAGCAGCAGAGGACACCTAACAACCATGTAATAAGCTAATTTCCACAACAAGCACATCCAAGTAAAACACACCAAATTAAAATTAATGTGGTCCACATCTTGTTTCCATGTGCAATTATTTTGAAGCTTTGATATATTGTCACGGAGCGCGACCGAATTACAGACCCCTTGTTTCAAATTAGCATCAGTGACTGTTCAAATGAGCAGCGTGACGTCCTGTAGTGAGCTGACGCGCAGTACATCTCGTTTTGTATTAACTTGAACATAGGTCCAGTGACTGGAAGAAAAATATGATGAAAGAAAAATCAGCAGCATTCATTTTGAATGGGTTGTTTCTCATTGGGTACGTGGCCATGTGCATCAACAAGTATAAAAAGTAGAAATGAAAACGACTGTGAGCTTCAGAGTGCGTGTACATGCATTCCTTTATAGTCAAACATTACATCCAATGACCTTCACTCCTGACGGCTCTGGATAGAAAACTACTGTTTGTCTTTGTCCTGAACAAACAGTCAGTCGTACTTCAGGGTCAGTTTGAGCTGCTACTATTTGATTTATTAAACTGAATATGATTAGAAAAAGAAAAAGCAGTTTAACAGCACTTCAACTAAGTGATAAAATAGGACTTGAGCTGCCTAATTCCTCCACATAATAACCAAGATTTAGAATAAATAGAGTTCCTCTATATAATCTTCTAAGGTTAAAAATTGCTGCTTTAATTTGTCTTCCACTGACTGTTTTGGCACCATAATTGTACCGCACTGTGTGTAATAGAAACTCTAATTCATACGTGTGCAAAATGTGCAGCTCAATCGGGAGATAATAGAAATTTGCTTTTCTCAGTAATAAGTCACATAATTTCTTAAATATATAACGTTTTGTGGTGAATTTCCCTGAAGAAATGAATGGACACACTGTTCAGAAGCAAGACAGGATGACATCAGCGAGTGGAAAAGGTGTTATGGCATTTTTGAAAGTTTTGTTTAACTTAAGCTCACAGCCTCAATTATCACTCTTCACACATTTTTTTTGTCAGAACGTGGGCAAACCTGTTTCCTTCTATGTAATGTAATTATCTACGCAGCCACATTTCTCTATGGTTGTCTGGGGATACCATTGCCTCATAGACTGCATTATAAGTCAACAACCAGATTTTCAAACAAAAGTTTTGACACCGCAAACAAATTATTTATTTCAGTGCATTCAGCAGAGTCTCCAGTCTCGCAATATTAAAATCTAGACAATACGAGTTGCCGCATTTGAAAGGCATTTCTGGGCTGATTGCTTTTCTCACTTGCTGATTGCCTTTCACACTTTGCAGGTTCTTTGGGCTAAAACAGCTGATTAGATGTTTATCAAAAACTCTACTTCAATTCACACAACTTCATCTATTCACTCACACAAATGTATTATTTATTTTACTCAAAATCCTAAACGTCCTCTGGAGCTGCATTCACGCATTGGACAACAGTGGACATTTAGGCTTAAAACGTGGTGTAAATGATGCTGTTTCTAGTTGAATTTGAATTTCGGGGCTTATGGACACTTGATGACACCACACGAGCAGTGTTTTTGACATTTGAAGAATTTGTCCCAATTTACTTGAATTGTATTGAATTTGGCTGTAACGCTGTGTATTGTGGACTCAAACACTTCACCCACCCCTTCATCGTCATAGTGGTGAGTAGGTAATGAGGGAGTTTTCATTTTTGGGTGAACTATCCTTTTAATGAAGCTGTCTCTGAGTTGTGTCATTTGTACTGACATGAACGGTCATGCTGAATGTTTAACTGTGACTCATTTGTTTTACTTGCAACAAGCTGATAATCCATATCCTGAAATCACTGTGGAGAGCATGTCTTTTAATGTGAGGTGCATCACTAGCAAACTTGAACAAACTTGAAAAAATAATTCGAGTTTGATTGCAAACCCATGTATCTCACAAGCATTCAGGTTTAATGAGGAGAAGCAAGACAGAAGAGGACAGATCATCTTGAAAGAAATCGTCAACAGACATTCCAGAAAACACTCAAACCATGAGAATTAAATCATCATAGTTCACTTACTAAATCTAAACATCATGTGTTGTGTGTCTGTTACCTCTACAAAATTGTGGATTCCCTCGAGGTATGCCAAGTTGTTATCCGTCACGTCCACACAAATACAGAAGTACAGGCCAGCATAACGCCGGTAAATGATCTTGAAGTTCCTGAACTGTGAGAACAACACAGATAAAAGCTCTCAACATTTTTCTCTCTCATATTATGACAACAGCAGCTGCTTAACTTGGGCTTAAGCTTCAAAACTTTGAGATAATACACACCCAGTTTAACTATAATTATTTTGGAACATATTGCATCATAAAACTGATGAGAAGTGTAATCCTCTAGAATACAACCCAAAGATTTTTAGAGTTCTTTTTCAAATCACTTTAGAAATTGTTAAAACTGCTTATGAATTGTTTAAGGAGCTTGTGGAAAAAGCTTGTAATGTGGGACACACATGAGTCACTCAATTATTTTACTGTGAAGTAGCCACGACTGAGATTTTTAACGACAGTGTGGTTTCAGTCATTACACTGTGGTCACTGAAAAAAGGTCTGGTTCTACTAAACAAAGTAGGAAATTTGTGCATGTCCCTTAACCACCCACAAAAATAAAGAACCACACAATCATACATGTATACAGAAGATATTGACAGATCCCATACCTCCACAAAGTTGGTGTGTTTGGCATCCCTGACAGTTACCACAGCGTGAACTTCCTCAATCAACTTCTGTTTCTCATCATCGTCAAACTGCATGTACCATTTGGCCAGTCGTGTCTTCCCTGCTCGGTTCTGAATGAGGATGAAGCGGATCTATGCAATAAAAAGAAAAACAGAAAGAAAAATTTGATTAGAACGGGAGTAGTTTACTGAAATAAGTGTATATGGTATCTGGCCATCAGTGAAATTTAACTAAGTACATCTACTCAAGCACATACTCGACACTTAAATACAAATTTGAGGTAGTTGGCTCTTTCTAGAAGGAAATATTGTACATTGTACTTCAGGACATTTATTTGAAGAAAATATCAACTACCCAAAATTAGGAGCAGGAATAATTAGTTGTAAAATATTCATATCATTGTTTGAGTCTCTTTTCATACAAAAATGCCC